GGGGGGAGGGGGGGGGGGGGTAGAGGTATAGTACACATGAGACAGGGAAACCCACGAAAAATCAACAGCCTTCTTGGAAGGCTAGAAGCCAGATACGACCCCCCCGACAACCGAACAAATACAACCCTCCTCTTTATAGGGCCCCTAAAACAAGAAAAATCAACTGTCAAAATTTTTTCTTAGACCACTTACGACCCCCCGCTCCCCTCCCCGCAACCAAATATGACACCCCCTGTTGGAGAATCCCCAACAACGATGTGCCCTGAACTCTCTTTCGACGAAAACTCGTCTGCAGCATGGAAGTTGTTAATGGCAGGCATTTAGGCATCAGAGTACAGAGCTGTAGCTCAGCTAATTTGCGGAGGTATCAATCAGTCGGTCGAGAAAAACCGTATCGAGAAGATCGAATAAAGAGCAATGAAGATGGCGAACTAGACGGAAAAGAGCCACAACAAAGGTCGAGAGAGTGGACAGCGTCGGCAAGGACCTTGGAAACATTCAAAAACCTGTGATAATCGACACCAAGAGATGCGAAACCAGTTTGAACTACCACGTGGCTCAAAAACCGAGAACATTACACAAACCGAGAACATTACACTGAAAAAAAATCGAAGACAGATCGTCCATAGTCGCGAGGTATCCAAAAACTTGTTGAGCAAAGGTAATTGGAATTCCTTTCAAAGTCAACGCCGTCTTTGTAACTGAAGATCTCTAGAGGCCAAGAAGTAATGTTGCGTCTCCAATCAGTCTGTACACCGCACTTTCTTTGATGGTTCGGTTAACCCCACCGTGGTGTCCAGATTTCGTTGCTTCCAATAAATGATTGATGTTAAGGGTGAAAGTGAAGGGAATTCAATGACAGCAGGCGAATATATGGTGAAAAGAAAAAAAAACTGCGATGGAATCCTCTACCACTGTGGAAAATCAATTCAAAGTAAATTTATTGAAATGTAAAGTGCAGCTATTGATTGACTAAAACAAGAATCTACTATTCAGGGCTGTCAGGATGAAATGAACGTGTTTCATTCATTATTGTGGACCTGCATGAGTCTGACCTTTTGTCTCTCCTGAACTCATAAGCTGATAGTGAAGCGATGTTGGCTACAAGCTTAAAGGGAGAGGTTTAGTCATCACTGGCAGGATTAGATTAGTAATTATTGGGATAAGCTGGGCTGAATTCATACTCATGGTCAGCTCCGAATTTGAGATCAAAGAATTGGTGAATCCGCTGGGGGGAACGTATTAGGTTGTCCGGAAAGTTCTCAGCGTTTTGAGTGT